TCCGGATCCAGCCACTATGCCGTCTGCCGGTCTCAGAATCCACCCTCTTAGAGTTGACTACAGGCTGTGCCCGATCGCCCCCAGCTCCCACTCCCCCGCTCCCGCCTGGCCCGTGGCCACTCCTCTGTCTCTGTCTCTGTGGAGTCACGGTTCTGGGCGCAGCTCCCCTGCTGCACTGCAGTCTGGCCTCGCTGCAGCATGTCAGCTGCGCTCCCTCTGACAGAGGCTTGGGCATCATAAGACTGGCCACGTGTCAGTTACCCTCGTGTTCCCTGACGGCCCCTTTGTGAGCCACAGAGGGCGTGGGGTGTGTTCTTGGTACCTCTGTGCTCCGTGTGGCTGGCCACCGGGCCTTGGCTGCTCTCTGGGGTGCTCTCTTCCCTGCGTGAGGGGCGCGCACAGCCCAGCACTGAGGCCTTGAAGAGAGGCCCGGAGGACGGTCGTGTACAAGGAGGGGCAGACAGTACCCTCCCCAGTGGCCCTCCTACCACAGCTTGGCCCCCACGTCGGACCAGGCTCGGTGTCAGGCTGCCATGTGTAAGCGCTGGGTGCCACTTGCGGCTCACGGTGCCTGGAGGTCTCCGCTCGGGGTGCGGGGCTGGGTGTCGGGTGCCACTCGCGGCTCCAGGGTGCCTGGAGGTCTCCGCCCAGGGTGCAGGGCTGGGCGTTGTGGGCTTGGCGCCTGTGCTCGGCCTGTTGCTGTTGCCCCAGCCTCCTGAGACACGCATGCTGGCACCCATGCGCTGGGGGACTGGGCAGAGGGGCCCACCCAGCCCAGGTCTCGCTCCTGGACCCTTCTAGACCAAGGCCAGAGCACAGTGGTGCAGCCAGGCTGGGCGTGTGTGTCCCTCTCACAGGAGCTTGGGGGAGGCACGAGAGCCAGCTCCCCTGGTGCCTGGACTGTGGCTCCGCTGGGCCCTGGTGGGCCCTTCCTTCCCCTACCTCCCTCCTCTCCCTCACCCCTGGGGACTTGCGCTGCCTTTTCAGAGTGGCTTTCTACTCCTCTTCTCGTTCAGCTTTTGTCTTAAGAGGTTTTTGCCATAGGGCGCATGCTCTTGGTAGAGGGGCAGTGACAAGGAAAGTGAGAAGTCACTCTGGGGGGGTGGCCCCCTGCAGACCCCTTCCCTCTGCTCCATTCTCCTAGGATTTTGGGTGTGCATGCACACGTGCCCGGCATGACCTTTAGGCCACCAGGTTCAGGACTTGCACGTGGTCAGCCATGTGGGAGCCCCATGACGGAACCGCTATGCCTCCTGCTGGCCCTCGCTTAACTCTGATGAACGGCTCACACAGCCTGGCGCTGAGTCCTCGCCGCCCCGGGCTGACCGCCGGCCTGACGGGGCACAGCTGTGCACGGGGCCGGCAGGCGCCCTCCCACGCTCCCACTCCTGTCTTGCAGTGTTCTCTCGGGGGCTGAAGAAGTCGTCGCAGGAGCTGTATGGCCTCATCTGCTACGGCGTAGCAAAAAAACCTCTCCAAACAAACATGCGCAAGAAGATCGGGGGCTGTGAGTACCGCGCCCGCTGCCCGCTTCCCGCCGCCTGCCTCCCGCCGCCTGCCTCCCGCCGCTCTGCCCGTCTGGCCCCTTGATCTGAGTGCCTGGGGCCCAGCGGCTTCCCTCAGAAAACTCAGCTCTGTGATGGCTGCCTGGCCTTCCCCGAGACGTGAAGTTATCACTCCAGCCGCGCTGCTCCCGGGGCCCCAACGCATGCGCATGTACATGCAGCTGCACATGGGTCACAGTTCCCACGTGTATGCACTGTGTCCCCACGTACAAGCACATGTCTGTGCACCTACGCACATGTGTCCCCACATGCTTTTTTCTCTGCCACGTGACCTTGAGACACCACCCCCAGGCCCCGAATAGCACCCACGTGGTCTGAGGACGGGACCCACTCCTGCAGCCCAGCCCCCCATCTCCTAAGAGGGACCGCTCGCTGGGGACGGCAACCCTGCCCGATGGCCTGCCTGTGCTTGGGCCTCCCCACACCCCGGGGGCAGCCGAGCTCCAGTCAGGCCCTTAGGCCCCAGGCAGCTGCACACTCGCCCTGTCCCACGCTGGTACCCAGGGTCCGGGCCTGCCTCAGCTGACAGCCCCTGCCTGCCCCGCTGGCTCTCCCGGCAGGGTCTCTGTGTGCGTTGTTAGCAGGGGTGCCAGGTTGGGGTGCACCAGGCTTCAAGGACCCAAGCCCCTACATCTCACCCCTGCCTGTGCCCCCCATGTGGCGTCAGACCACGGGGGCGACCCTCGCCGGCCTGCTGGGCATTCTCGGGGTGCGCTCCTCGGACCACCTCGAAGACTGAGGGGGTTCCACACGAACGGGCTGCTTCTTGCCGCCCCATGGCCCACGCCACAGCTCAGGGTGGGCAGCGAGGCCGAGGAGGCCCGTGTGGGCAGGCACTGTGCGTGGCTGAGCGTGTGCTGTCTGCACACTGGCTCTTCCCGCCTGGCCCTCTCTCCTGCATGGTGCTGCCTGTGCCCACGAGGACGACTGTCCTGAGCTCTCCTACTGCTTCTACCCACCCCGCCTCTCTCCTTCCTCCCCGCCCTCCTGGCCTCCCCACCTTGCCTGTTCCCAGCATGGTGTGCACCTGCAGACCCAGCTACCTGGGAGGGTGAGGCCCTGCCCAGGACACCGCGTGGCAGATGGAGGGCTGAGGACTGGGGGAGGCAAGCGGCACACAGACCCTTTCTCACCTGGCTCCCAGGTCGCCGCCTCCCGGCGCTGCTGCCAGCGCTCGGCCCTTGATTCCTGTGCACACGGGCCTGCCAGACAGCGGTCCTCCTTTCCCCACCTCGCTGGCTTCCCGATGCCCCAGGGCGGAGGTGAAGAGTCCCTGGGCTCCCTGCTCCAGGCCCCGGCTCAGCCCGGCCACACCTGCCCCGCCCTTTGGGGCCTCCCGGGTAGCTCTCGCCCTCAGTTCTCAGCTCCAGCCAGGCTGTCCTGCCTCCACGCTGCCCCTTGTTCTCACTTCTGCAGGCGGGGCTACGCTGGGTTCTTGCAGGCAAATGTGCCCTGCTGTTCTTGCTGCGCCCTGCAGTTGGCCCCGAGCCTCCCGCCCCTCGGGCTCGTCTCTCCGGGCTCGGCAGCCTCCTTGGCCTCCACATGTTGTGCTGACCATGGCTCTTAACTGGAGTCTCCCGTCTCCCTCTGGCCATGTCTGTGCCGGTGTTGAATCGGACTCAGTGGGCCCCTCCTTCCTCTGCCACCTGTCCCAGCACCTCTAAGGGACACGCTGTCTCCTCTGGGAGCTTTGGCGAGCCTGAGGCCCGCTTCCAGCCTGACTGTGGGGATCAGCTCTCTCGCTGCCCAGATGCACAGAAGAGTTTAGAGACCCTGCAGTGAGCACTGCCCACCACCCGCACCCCCACAGACCCTCTCTGTCGCCTTGCTTTCTTCCCCACACGCTCGAGGATCCTAGGAGCAGAGCAGAGGAGGTCAGAGGTGACGGGGCGTCTGTGCTAGTGAACACAAGGGTGTTGCATTTTCTTTTTTTTTTTTCCTTTTTTTTTTTTTTTTTGTTTTGAGAGGTTTTCGCTATCAGGTGTGTGTGTTTGCCAGAAAGACAGAGACAGAGAGACAGAAAGTGAGAAATCACCTCCCAGGGGGTTGGCCATACTGCAATCCCCGCTCCTCCATTCTCCTCTTGGGATTTTGGGTGTGAATTTAAGCCACCAGGTCTAGGACTCTAACTGTGGTTGACTACATGAGAGTCCAGTGACGGCCATTATGCCAACGGCTGGTCCCAGTGTCGGATTTTCATTCAGAAGACCCTGGGGGCCTGGGGTCAGCACCAAACACTGTCGCTTGGAGCTCGTAGGAGGTGCATGCGGGTGCACATGCAGGGGTGCACGTGGGGTGTGCCAGGCACTGGAAGGAGGCAGGGCTGTCTGTGGCTGGGGCATGAGGGAGCTGGGCCTGCAGGGGCAGCAGAAGACCTGCCCAGAGAGTGCAAGGCTAAGGGTGAGCAGGTGAGCAGCTCAGAAGGTGCCTCCCAGCAGCAGCCAGGGCTGGGGGCAGGGGCTGCCGTGGGTCTGTATCCTGGACGGCCTTGGCTGTCAGGGCAGGGCTTGGAGCCTGTGCGAGATGGCACTGGGACGGCCGATGCCCACGCCCCGCTCCCTCACGCCGCACTGCTCTGTCTGCAGGTATGGACGACAAGAACGCTGCCAAGTTGAACGAGCTCATCCAGGTGGGGTACGTGCTCGCTGCGGGCCGCGGTGAGGCCAGAGGGGCTGGGCAGGGGCCTCACGTCCCCTTACTGTCCTGCACACAGCAGTCACCTGGGAGAAGCAGCACCACTCAGCCGACGGCCACATGGGGTGGCACCACCTCCCCCAAGGGCCTTCTGCTTGTGCAGGGTTTGTTGTTGTTGTTGTTGTTTTAAGATAGACTTGTTTTTGGGCACATACACTCACCAGAGAGACACAGACAGAAGACGAGAAATCACCTCCCTAGGGGGCATGTCCACACTGCCATCCATTCTCTCTGGATCTTGGACTTGCACGGATACACGGCTGGCATGAGTTTAGAGCTGCCGGATCTGGGGCTCGAACTGTGGTTGACAGTGGGAGTCCAGCAATGCAACTACTGCGCCCTCCACTGGCCCACCAGGCAGGGCCTGATGCCTCCCTAGGCCCTCACTCACGCGTTGGCGGGCCAGCCCTGGCTGCTGCCGAGGCTTTCCGTTGCATTTTTCCAGTGGCTCTTCCAGTCTGGTTCCCCAGTGCCCTTGCCCAGAGGCCTGTCCCCATGGCTTGTCCCCGGCATTGCTGGCTTCCAGAGCGCAGACCACCTTCGGCTACAGAGAGCGCAGGTGTGGCTGGTGCGGACCTGGCTCTGGACAGCGTGGCCACACACCTGCCAGCTGGACTGTGGAGCGGACTCTCGAGCCCTCCTCGTCCGAGCCAGCCAGGCGTCCTGTCTTGGCCAGTGTGTGAGCTCGCTTAGCTTTCCGAGACCGCCACTGCTGCCACCTCCCCTGCACTGCGCCCTCCACCTGCCGCAGCCAACCTGGCCCCGTTCCACACCGTGGTCTGTGCCGCCCCTGCCCACACGTCAAATGTGTCAGCTGGGGCCTCCTCCCAGCTGCTTGGCGGTGGGTCCCAGGGCACGGAGGAGGCTGCTGTGCCCCACTCCTGGCCCAGCGTCCCTGCCCTGCGCGGGATCTGCCTGTGCATCTCGGTGGGTCTGGGCAAAGACCTGTGTCTGAACTCTGGCTTCTGCACTCCGGGCCGCGGGACTGCTGACTTAGATCTGCGCTGAGACCGTTGACCTTGCAGCATCCCCGTGAGGCCGTCAGAAGGCCAGCTCCTGGGAAGGCAGGCCCGGCGCGGGGTCATGGTTCTGGATGTGCCTTCCCCAGCACAGAGCACGCTGCCTGGCGTGGGGAGGCGGGGGAGGGACGCTGAGGCTGCAGGAGGGCGGCTTTGTGTCCTTCAGAGCAGAAGAGACGTAACAGCTGAACGCAGGCAGGAAGCCCTGTCTACACCCGGGGTCTTTGCAGAAGAGAAAAGGCCCAGTAGCACAGAGGCGAAGCCCGGCCCACAGGGAGCCGGAGCCCACGTGGTTGGCTGCAGTTTGCGGCCTGGCTCTGGCTGCCAGAGAGACGGGCCTGTGTGCCCCAGCCCTGGAGGAGTGGAGCTGAGAGCGCAGTGTGGCCACACCACGGCAGGGCGTGGTCTCTTCTCGTGGGCACACGCACCCTCTGACAGTGCAGTTGTGTAAAACCTTGAGAAGACAGGTGTAAAAGTCCGGGAGGGCTGGGTGTGAACATGTGCTGAGGGCTTGGCCCCGGGGCTGACTCCTGAGGGCTGTGCCGCCCCAGGTGCAGTGTGTCCCGTCTCTGATTAACAGCAGCAGCGGCCTCGGGGGCAGAGAGCACCAGGCTTTGTCGCCAGGTCTGTGCCCTCGGTGCAGGGCTTTCCAGGCCTGTGTCTGTGGAGGTGGGAGCCTGGGGCTCGCTGGGGAGTCGTCCCGACCGCGAGGAGGTCGGGGATGGCTGGGCCTGCCCTGTGCCGGTGATGCAGGCTGGGCTGGCGTAGCATGTGAACCCCGTGCTGGGCAAGGCCCCAGAAAGCGTGCGATCCACGCTGGGGACCCTTAGGCACCTCCGGGGGTGATCTCGGGGCTCACGGGACATCCCTGTCCCTCAGGTGCAGCACGGCACTGCAGGGCGCTGTGACAGCTCAGCGTGGAGGTTTGTGTGCAGCCGGGGCAGGGGTGCAGCAGGCAGGCTGACGAGCCGCGGGCTCAGTGTGAGCATCAGGTGGCAGAATGGGTGCTCTGTGATGGCAGCAGAGCTGCCCCGTGCAGGTCGGTGAACAGGAGGTCTGTGTGTGACAGGTGGGCGTGCTCATGGTAACCAGGGTGCAGACCGTGATGAGGCTAACGGGGTGCGGGGAGCTGTGGGTGTGCAGGGGCCTTCTCCCAGGCGAGGACAGCAGGCCAGGGCTAGGGCCTCGCAGGAGCCCGGCAAGTCGCAGACATCCTGGACAGGCCAGGTGCCAAGGCAGGAGCTGGTGCCCCTAGCTAACGACAGGGTGGCCAGGAAGGCTGCAGGTGAGGAGGAGGCGCAGGGGTGTGAGGGAGGGCCGGGTCGTGTTGCCTGCCAGCGGGTGCAGAGCAGAGGCCAGCACACTGGGTTCAGACGCATAAGCTGGGTGCATTCAAACAGCAACTGCCCCCTCCAGGTCCCGCGCGGAGAGCAGGTGGGGTGGCTGACGGCACGGTGCGCGTCCTGTTCGGAGCGCTGACACCCGTCCCTGTTGCTGGGGAGCTCCAAGTTTCATCTCTGTTTCAGTGCACTACGGGCGCACGCTTGGAGAGACAGGGAAAGTGAGAGGTCACCCCTGGGGCCTCGCCGTGAGCCCTTCTCCATCCCCTCTCACAGTTTGGGCCACGTACTTCTGCCCGGCCTGTTCTCTGAGCTGTCAGGTCTGAGAACCGAACTGCAGTGGCCACACGGTCCAGGCAACTTAGCCTCCGCACCATGAGTGCCTCGTTCCACGTTTAGCCCTGCACTCAGGTAGCGTCAGAATGCCGCCTGAGTGTGGGCCACAGTTGCCCTGGTGCCTGTGGGGTCCAGCTGTGCAGCGCCGACCAGGCAGGCCCGTCGCTCAGCCCTCCTCTTCTGTCCCGTCAGCTCCGTGTGTGTTTAAGGGTGGCCAGGCCAACTTGTGGGGGAGTAGGGTTGCTGCGAGGCAGCGTGCATGGAGCCTCGACTGCTTTGAGAGCAAAAGCACTCGACGGGTCTCACGCATGTCCCTGTCCCTTGCGCTGACCTTTCTCGGTGGACAGTGAGTGACTCGGGTGGGTCTGTGCTGGGGGCCCACTGCGTGCACAAGCCTGGGCCCAGGTTGCGGCACAGCTCCTCGGGCTTACCAGGCAGAGGGGCGGCTCCCAGCACGCGCAGGGGCTGCCCGCGCCTGTCAGCACTGCGTGGAGGCCCAGGGTCTTGCTCTGTGCGTGCTGCATCCTCAGCAGGCCGCCGTGGTCCCAGGAAGACGGCACCCTGAGCCCCTGGCCCAGCCTGCATGTGAGGGATGGGCGACATGTGGAGGGCGGAGTAGGGCTCGCACCTGGTGCCGTGGCGTAGCCCTGGGCCCTCGGATTCAAGGCACCGCGCCTGTCAGCACTGCGTGGAGGCCCAGGGTCTTGCTCTGTGCGTGCTGCATCCTCAGCAGGCCGCCGTGGTCCCAGGAAGACGGCACCCTGAGCCCCTGGCCCAGCCTGCATGTGAGGGATGGGCGACATGTGGAGGGCGGAGTAGGGCTCGCACCTGGTGCCGTGGCGTAGCCCTGGGCCCTCGGATTCAAGGCAGGAAAGGAGGAGCCACTGCAGGAAAGAGGGGTGCTCGTTTCACTCCCGGAGAGAGAGGAAGTCACAGAAGAGCCGTTTAACGGAAAACGAGGTGTCGCAGACACAGCTGCCTGTGACAGCGCTGCCTGCTGACTCGCGGTACAGGCCTGCGTGGAGGGGTGGGTGCAGAGGGCGCTGGTGCCTCGGTGGGTGGGTGGGCCGTGGGGTCCCGGCTGCCGCCCCCACCCGAGGACCTTGCTGCCTCACTGACTTTGTAAACTACTTGCTGAAGCTTGCAAGGTTTGGGGGGCACTTGCGAGACCCATAACGCCTTTTCCTCCTTAATTTCCTCTGTGGGTACATGCAGAGGGAGGTGTGAGGAGTGAGGAAGCATCCCTGGCTGGCCGCCTCACAAGCCCGTCTCCATTCCCCGCTCTGGATTTCGGGCACACGCCCAATGTGGTCTTCAAGCTGCCAAGCCCAGACCTGGACCATGCAGTGGACCACAGGGGACCCCGCACTTTAGCCACCGTGCCACCTGTGGCCAACACTGATGCTTTCAAGGCAGCCAGCTTGGACAGCGACGAGAAGGGCGTCAGCACAGACCGCGCCTGCCCCTGCCTGTCGGAGGCTGCCGCGCTGGCCATCGGCCCACTGGGCGTGCACACGCGGGAGCTGACCCCCAGAGCCCCCCGAGTAGCCATGGCAGGTCCTAGAGTGGCGCTTCAGTAGGGCCAGTGGTGGTGTGGTTCCCGCGACGGTCCCACATGACCAATGGTTTGTGTCCTAGACCCTGCAGCTTAAAAACTCCAGGTTCACGTCCATGTGTGCCCAGGACCCAGAAGGAGGAAGCGACGGAGGGGAAGGGACTGCAGTGTGACTGTCCCCACGGAACGCTTGCTCCCTGCCACGCTCGGGCGGCGCACGTGCCTGGAGCACAAGGAGGGGCCGGGTGAGGCAGTGTTGACGGTGCCCACAGCAGCTTGCAGGGAAAGGTGAGCCTGGTGGGTGCCCTGGTTGACGACCCATGGGCAGCAGCAGAGACGACAGCACCATGGACGGCTCCGACCGAGACCGAGCAGGTGCAGCCGAGGAGCGCCCTGCCCCGCTGCTGGCGAGCAGCGGCC